AAATTATAATTATAATTTATTAATTATAAGAATATACTGAACGATATTATGTAAGTATAGGTATTGTTGGTTTTCATCATTCATGAACACATTTATATATTTGTATGACAGCGTTTTTTTTCTTAAAGTATTTGCGGAAAAAAATTCTCGGTGATATAAAATATGAATATACTTTCTAAAATACTTTTGTATTTTTATTGAAAACAATTTTAAGCGAAATAAAGTCATAATAGCCATTGTAATATACTGATTTAAGATGGTGAATTATGCAAAGTTACCAAGATATAAAACCATATAAACTTGATTCTTTTGTTGAAGATTGAAGATCATTTGTTTTCGATGGACTAAAAATAAATACAAAATATCCTTAAATATATAACATCCTATCCTTCTATAATATTTCATTTTGGATTATTATAAATAATTATAATAATTAATAATAATGTAATCATTTATGGTATAACTTATGATTCTTATGTTACCGTGAATTGTATTAATGTGTAGTGTGTACATATATCGTACAGTATAAACCAACCTTTACCAACCATAACAATATCATATCATAAATCATATAAATAATTCAAAATTCATTTTCGACAGAACGAATTTAAAAATAAGGGTAAGTTTCTTATAGTAAGATAAGCCATTAATAAAATTATAATTATATCTATTATAATTAATAAATCCAAAACTTTTTATGCATAATATATAAAGGTACCTACACTATTATCCACATTAGAATATCTTGATTACAACAAATGTTATGAAAATTATCAGTACCTATTAAAATGATTAAGCAATGTACTATGTAAATTTGAAAACAAACAGAGTATGCCGAGGTGAGTCACACATACAATTATTTTACAGTAGAATGTCTAATTGAGAATGAAATACACAAATAGGTAGGTACCTATTATATTGTAATTTCTGGAGGAATATTAATAATATGCAAAATCCGTTTGCAATTAATATTATAGCCTCTTATGTAATAAGTTAATAAAATATATCGTTTTAATATTGTGCTAAATGTATTATACAAGACTTTTAAACCCGTGTCGGTGTAGAAATTTACTAATGTTGCTATTAAATATGTTATAGGCATTTCGTATTTTTTGCCAAGTCATAAATCATTACGCGGCACAGGATATTATATCATTAAAACCAAACAGTTCATTGCTCTTAACCGTAGTTCCAATTTTGTAAAGTCACATCGTAAAATGCATACAGCATAAAAAAAATGAAAACTAGAATATGTAGATGCACAAATATAAAATGATGCTATTATTAAATTTGACATGAAAACTTGTAAATATAGGTTATGCGCAAATCCTTCATTTCAAATCAGGGTAAAGCGAGTCTTTCGTCCTTTTACGGGCGGTGGCTATAAAAAAGCTTGATTAATGATTTCCTTTTTTCTTTGCAAAAGTTTAAATGAATGGACAGTTTAGTGTGATGGAAAAAAAAATTACATTATAAAAAAATACAGTTCATGTCAAAACTGATGTTTTTCTGAAAAAAAAAAAATAATAACAATAAATAAATAAACGTAGGTCAAATGTGTGAAAAGCTTGTATATTTTTGTCAAGAACAATTCCTATATTATGTATATTTAATATTTAAAGTGAAAAACTGATTCCGTTTTATAATTTGAAAGCGTTATAATATCATCCTTGTGCAGGGAGCATGCTAATCTTCTCTGTGTCGTTCCAATTTTAGTATATGTACTGCCGAAGTAAGTACCCAAGCGTTATATTAGTATAATATAATTATTATACGTATATATTTTGATTTCAAGTATAGTTTTAATATATTAATTTATATATATTTTTTATAAAATAAATAGGTAGGTATTTATTATTTGAAAATTTTTTGAATGATCTTAATTTTAGGTTTTTTCCCTCGGCATATTGGAAGTGCTTATTGATATTTTTAATAAGAAGCGAGACGCGAGTTATGACCATCTTTCAACTGTGCATTTCTAATACATTTAAAAATTATAAAAATAAGAATTATAATTTATAACATACCAAAAATTATTAATATCAATAAAATCCTCTAAGATGACCTAGAAGATAATCCTAACTTTAAATCTTATAAGGAGTTGATTTGCTCTAATTTTTAAAACTACAGAGTAAAATGGGTTATTGCTAGCGTAAAATGTACTATGATTTAGTTTTGTAAGACGGAGACACCACAAGTATCGTCTTCGTACAGATACAAGTAATGCGATTATTGCTCACACAAATTCATGGCTATTATTGTATTATATGTGGGTTGCCAATCGTTTTGATTCAATAACATATGATATACAAATTATTTTTTGAAAATAGTCAAGATTATATACCTAATTTGTGCACTACAAATATAAATCAAAGTTTAAAATCTATACTGGCCGGGTAGAATGTAAATTTTTCGTCAATATTAGTTTTAGCGTTGAACCTAAATAAAAATTATATTAAATAAATAAGGATCATTAAATTTGATTTTTCTTTAATATATTTGAATACAATAATACATAAAATATTTATGTTTACCTAAATATATATTTTTTAAATATCTCTTTGTTTGAACAAACGATAAAATATTTAAAATCTTTGAAAATTTATTAAATAAGCTAATGATAAAATAAATATATATAAATAATTCTCAGCTTGATTGAACTGTTCATGAAATAATATGTCACTCATAAATCGTACAAATTAAAGTTATACTACCTCACAACATAAGATTAAAATTGCTTCTAACAGAATGCCTCCTCACAAAAGATGCCAGAGAAAAACTCATGCTCCCCAACAACCTATGTGAAATACTAGCACCAAACACGGAAAGAACATCTTCACTCCTAGAACTTCTCAAAGAAACGAACCTTCTACAAAAAATATAACTATATATTTATTGATATCATATTATTTATCTCATATACTTTTCTTCTTTATACTCTAGTATCATTATGTAAATTAATTAAACTGTAACATGTATATCTTAAACGCCAATAACCCTAGTAGTTGAGGCGTATATTTCTAAATAAAAAAAAAAAAAAGATTAAAATTAGCGAGATTTGATCGAAATAAAGATTATAATTTGTTAGCATATAAATTATATTTAAATAATATAGTTCAACATTTTATAAAATAACGTTATGCTACATTAATATTATGTGCCACAAGAATTAATTTTTTTTTTATATAAGAAAAGGATGTAAACAATTCTGTAAAAGTAAGATGTAAAGTACGAAAAAACAAAAAAAAGTCTTTGATAAAATGAAGTATCGCAATTCAATACGTCACACTATGAGATTTTAAAGCCAATAAACATTACACACTTTAATGAACAACAATAACTTTCATAGTCTCAAACGAAAATAAAAAGTGGAAATGAAGAAACAATTCAGTATAATGGTCAAAAGATTTTATTTAGTTTCTAAACTTCGATCTCTACCACATTATTAAGCCCAAAAATGTTTTAACAGGCTTTGATGAAATTGTTTTGAAGTTAAGATTTAAGTTTTAAAAAATATATGTGATTTTAACAAATAGAAATCACTATTTTTAAATTCAATTAGGATTACGTCGTATCTTCTATGATTATTATTTTAGTAAGATATTCTTTTAAATAGAATATCATTTTCTGTAATTTTTTTTAAATATTTTAAGTGAAAACTTGTGACATGAGCTGACAAATAGTTTTGCTTTATTTAAATTGAGTTGGTTAAAACTAATATCAGAGCACACATATTTACTTAAAGTTAGTATAAAAAAATATTCAAATTTTATGTTTTATTTTATTCACATATTTTTTTGTTATTGGTGAGTTGGGTGTGATTTATTGTTAATTGAGTAAATACTTACATGATAGACTTTTCGAGGTGAAACGTCGTGTTATTTGTCGCAATATTATAAATTATAAGTGTTAGTATTAGCGAAAAATGTGTGATATGACGTGCATGTTTAATAATATTTGAAAATCATAACAAATAAATTATAAGTTTTATAAATAATTTTTAATTTACATAGAAATAACTATTAAATAGATTGTAGTTAATGAATTCGTTTTCTCTTTAATTTTTTATAAAATAATGTTTATTTAATAAAAAAGTACTCTTTAAAAAAAATATATTTCATATTCACAATCATATTTTATCATATTCCTTTTAAAAAGTTTTTTTATAATTTATTATTCACAAAAACACATCGTTTCGATCACATCAAATTCAGAAACATTGGGGTAGGAGTTTCAAATAAATTTTTATTGTCCTTCAACTCTATGATAAATGGATAATAATATGTATGGTACGAAGATAATCAACCTGTATGAAATTGAATTCCGATCATCCAATAAGCTAGTAAAATGTTTTTATGCTTGACAATATAAACACATATTTAATTACTGATGACCTCCTAACCTTAATCCCATAATATATGGACGTTATTTTACACAATTCCCAGTAAGAATTATCATAAACTTAATAATATTTTCATAAGTATTAAAAATTAAAGTCAATACTTTGCGAAACAAAATAATACAAATAATAATATAAAATTATATATTATTATTGAAAAAAGTACCGACAATCTCTCAAAGTCAACACTACCTTCCTCTCTCAATAACTTTATGTCTCAATCATAATGAGTGATTGTAAAGTATAACATTACATTCAAGTAATGAAAACTGTGCAGTTATAACAGAATCCTGATGGGTTATATGAAATATGATTATTCGTCGTATAAACTTGAAATATGTGAGTTGGCAATCCATATGATATAATATTATGTGATCGTTTACTGTGCCACGCACAAAAAAAAAAAAATAAAACGTTACAATAATTTTAAATAATCGTTTGTTGTGGGTCGAAATTTACGAATGATACGATCCATTCGTTGGATGCGATTAACACATTTAACCTCATCTCGTAGACTGAAAATCTGATGTATCGGACTGCGAAACTCATTTCATGTTATCAAATGTTGCATGCGACATAATAGTGTGTTGKCGGTACTCACTTCATCTGAAAGTCGTGATACTGTTGCGAACTTATGCTGTTGGCAAAGTCGGGCCACCGGTTGAAGTCAATCGGCAGTTCGACGGGCGCAGTCTGACATCCTTCATGCCCTTGTTCCGGCGAGTTGGCCGACAGCGATGGCTGTTGAACGACGATCGTTGCCACTTGTCCCGTGTCCGACATGACCACCGCAGCCGATTGGCTCTTGTTGATGACCAACGCGTCCAGCAGCACCGCCGAGCCCTTCCGCTCCTTGTTGTTCCAGTTTGGCGTCCGGTTGTACACCGTCGACGGTCTCCTGGTAATCACACAAACGCCCGTGGCGATCATTCGTCAACGATTTATTCGACAAAATTGAGAATCGTAAAATAATATATATATATGGTGATTGGTGTTACTGAAAATATAGATAAGCAATATTATAGAATTATCGTTTCTATTAGCATAAAATTATTTCCGCGTACTGGTGATACGCGACAGATGTGTAGTGCTCCACGATGTCATGGTATGCGTGGGCTGTGCATTTGGATGCAATTTGTAAAACGGTAAAAAAATTGTCTAGTGTGGGGGAGGGGGAGACATCAGTTATAATACGCAGATGAGTGGTACAAAGCCAACATGACTGGCCGCATTTGACCTGGTCGGACGAAATCCAAAGAAATCAAGAAAAAAGATCACCGAGTGCGTACATTTATATTCTCTACGTTCATTGACACGTTCGAGAAAATGCACATTTTAACAACAGTTGCTGCTGATACGTATATTGAATAGTGGCACTCTGTTATTATGATATTTCTTTGTTTGATAGTGAATTTTATAATGATTAACGTCTGATTTTGATAATACGATCGTTTAAGACTGAACTATTGCATTGCAATTTGCAACTATATATTTATATATACTTTATATTTAGGTACTGTAGTATTGTCATCTCATTTATTATTATTAATATTATTTAATAGTAATGTTTGGTATACTGAAATTTAATTTAATTATAGACACAATTTAAGATTAAAAATCTGATTTTGAAAATGAAAATGTATCTTGAATTTTTTGTTTTAATGTTATAAGTACCGATAATTATTATGACTGTTTTTTTTTTTTATAACCTAAATTTGTGAGTTCGAACTACGGATATGATAAATCAATTTATTTTATTGAAACTGCAGGTACAAATAATTCAAAATATTGTTTCTATTAAAAAAAAAAAATGCATTTTTGCATATTTAATTATACAATAATCAATTTTCCTCCACATTTCAATGAAACAAGACAATTATTGCGATTAATGGTTTGGCATAATAACTCAAACAAAATAAATTCGTTCTCGCTTGATAATAGTCGAAAATAATATAATGAATTTCTATATCAATACACATAATTTAGTAATTTAATTTTAATACTGTTATTAATGAATAGCAAAATCTTTTAAAGCGTATATAGTGCATTATACTATCATTAGTAACCATTAATTTTGACATATCGTAATTTCACAGCAATAATTAATCTAATGATATTCGTGAACAACATTTGTACTGTAGGTATACCTTTGTAATTTAATCAAATTAGTTTACACGTTGTATAATATCGCTTTTAATAAATTATTATTATGTATGTCCGACATTTAAATATTATGTTACGAAACATATAACATGTTGCTAATATGCATTAATTATAATTCCTGTAACATTAATACAATGATTTTTTTCCATATTTTTGATCATACACATGATACGCAGCAAATACCATAAATTTTTAACGTAAGGGAATTAAAGACAATTTGCAACGATCACTTGATGAAATTGTACTGGTTACTTTATACCGAATTGTTCATATAAAAATATAGGATAACATCTGAATAGTTTAGCTACCAAACTTAAGTGTTTATTAGGTATTATTAAGTAGTTAACTTAACCTATCTAAGATATAATTTTATTGATTATAACTTATGACATTATGAGTTATAATACAAAAATCCTGGCAAACACTGTGTGTTTCAGTGAGATATTTTTATTGGTTTCATATAAAATATATTATTATTTATTAAGAAAATTAAAATGTAGAGTTATAAAAAATCATTATAAATTATATTATCTTAATTAATTTCCATTAAAAATATTAGTGCTTTTTTTATTTTATTCTTATCTGACTAATATTGAAATTATATTTTTATTTTATAGTTTAATCAATCAAATTATATATAAATAAGCATAATGATAAAATTTTATTTTATCAATTTTCCAAAGTACAATTTTATAACTTAGGCCATACATTTTTAACCTAGGTACTTCTCATATTTAGTGTTTTTGTCTAAATCAAATGAAATAATGAAGTATAAAGAAAGTAAATTAAATGTATTTAGTTTTATTGTGTTTATGGGTCAAAATAAAATAATTGTCATTATTATTAATTAAACATTGTAAATATTAATTGTGACTAATATAAATTAAGCTGCTTCAAAATAAGATGAATAATGGATGTTGAAAATTAATTACCTAAAATCGACAATTAGGTACTTTAAAACTTAACAAGTAAGCCAATCGATAAATAGTGATAAATTGATGAATGGATTAGCAAATGGAACATGCGAAATGTGTATTTATTATTCAAAAAACATCCTGATTATAATATATATTGTTATCAGAGACTATAAAGTGAATTGTTTTTAATCAAGATGTTTTCAAAATTAATTAAGTTCATGAATTACATTTTCTAGGTGTGTCTTGTTATCGAAATAATCAAATAACTACAAGACGTCTACAATATATTGCACGTTAATGACGTTAATCATGTTACTGAATTTAATAATATATTACAATTTACAACCAAAAGTTCATATTATATTAATTCTGATCTCCCTCAGGAAATATTCTCTGATGTGTTTTAGTGTTAAATGTGAAATATCTTATGCGTAATGTTCATGTTAATTACAAGAATTAATTAGAATACAATTTACAAAAGACTTAAATACGTATTAAATACTCAAAAGTACGAATATTTCTATGTACTAAAAAGTAATCTTTTCGACTAAATTATAAAAATAAAATAAATTCGTTTGTAAATTATAATGACTTAAATGGTATTAAAATGCTTTTAATTGTATAGTATGAAGAAATAAATGGAATAAGTATATCAAAATTTTGTTAAATGACAAGCTAAATAGGTATAAAAAGTAATACCTATAATTGGAGTATGTATCATTATAAAATCAATAAATATAATAATTTTATAATTATTTAGAGGTTTAAATGTTGGTCAAATGAAAAGTGAAACATTTTAGAGAAGAGTAAAATCATTTGAATGCAACGATTTTTATTTGTTTCATGTTTATTGAATTCATATACGTGATATTAATAGCAGTTACTTTACTAGTAGGAGGCTGCATAATCATACACATCGCTGATCAATTTTGGGATAGTAATGTCAAGATATATAATTATATCGAAATTCTGAGGATTTACAATACTTTAATCTTGAAATTGAAGGGAATTAATACAAATCTGAGAGTTTTGATTCCATAACCTACAACTAAATGTAACAGCCTCTATCTATAAACGTGGAGCAATGATATATTTGAACATTAAAATAAATGTTTTAGAATAACAATTTCATGTTTTTTAAAATATGACAAAACTGAAATGATCAGAACGACAAGAGGTAATATTTGAACGTTTCAGCAAGTATCTTTCACCTGGTGAGTGTTAATTTATATAATATTGATAAATAAATAATATTTTTATTAAAATCATTATTTTTTATTTGTATATCATTGACTATTCATGATGGATGTTTGTTTTATACCTTTTGGCCGGATCAGTAGGTTCGTCTGTTTCTTTGACTGTTGGGAACGTAAAATGCTGTTTGGACTTGGTCGGAGATGACTCGTTATCGCAAGTAGGTGATCCTGGGAGACCAGTCGGCGATGAAGGAATGGGTGGTGAACCATTGTCAACTTGGAAAGAGTCTTCGCTGTCAATGGTCATTTGTTCGGCGGCAAAACCTGACGAGTTTCGACCGATTTCTGTTCGAGTCCTGTCCTCTTCGAAACGACTTTTAGCATATCTTCTTGAAAGAAGCTTTAATCTAGGTACAAAAATTACTAATAAATATCTATATTGATTTAAATATATTACATTATTATACCAATATTAATAATATTAGGTACTCGAAAAATTGTTAAATGTTTATTGAAAATTGTAGTAATGTAATGTTGAAAACCAGTTTTAATTAAATAACTATATATACCTATAGTATATTTTATTATATTAGGAAATTGCTTTTCTACGTTATAAATTATAATATTTATATGTCCTTTATGCATATTATTGTTATAGTTTAAGATATAATTTTGAATGTTCAATAATGAACACATTAAATTTGCATTTAAAACTATATACTTCAATTTCTAAATTCCAAAGTTTTAAAATACTTTTTTTATAACATTTTAAAAGTATAAGTTAATTATAACTATGTATTTTTATTTTCATAAAAGTAGGGACTTCAGTATACAATTTCTATGTATATATTGTAATTAATTTACGCTTTACAACTTAATGATGTTAAAAATTCTTTATTATATCAATAAGTTCGATGACCTTGTATATCAGAAACACTTTAATTTAATAAAAAAATAAAAAAGTATACAATTTCTGAATAATATATCAAATAAAAATGTAAATGCCATATTATGTAGCTATAATAAGTACACACGGAATTTTTATAATATATTTTTGTAATATATTATCGTGGATTACAATTTAAATTACCATCCTAAGACTTAAGTAATTAAATTGTTTAAGATATTATACATAACGAATTCGAAAATATTTTTTGTTCATTCATTTTGTTTTGACCTCAATCATTAATAATTAACTCATACTGATGTCGGATATTACTTTTAATAAATACGATTTATTAAAGTGAAGCAAATGTATGACATTTAGTTAATCTATATCTATCATCTCTACATTAAACATTCAAATAAAATCTCATTCAACTATTAAAATGCATCTATCTCAGGTGTATTTCTCATTATGGTCTGATATACACACAAAGCGTGAGACACCGACACAAAAATTTTTCCAGGAACCGAAGTAGGTATTGAAGCACAAATGGAAAGAGCTATGTATTTTATACTTGTCCATGTATTCCCAGATTAAAGTCTGGTCATAAAACTTGTTTATATATTTTTTATATTATTTAATATATAATGTATTAATTATAATGTTTTATAATAATATACAGCTCCATAAAATGTTAATGAAAGATATCTCAAGTTGCACGTCAAATTACAAAAATAATTTATATTACGAAAAACTGCTATGGACATAAATTCAATCATAAATAATTAATTACTATAATTAATTTGTATTTAATATATGAAAAGATTGACTAAATAGTTATAAATTATATTCTGAAGAACAGTATATTCTACAATGGTATACACTTATTTTAAAACAACACAGCAGTTGGATAAATAATAGAATTATTAAAATTAAATGTTTGTTCGATTAACATTAAAGTTAAACCGCAATATGTATGCTTACTACATTTTTATAGTTTTATTTTACTGGTTCAACATTTTTTCTTGAATGATTTTATTATTGGGTACATAATTTATTGTAGTTACTCACTAGCATATACATTAAGCAAAATAATCTCTAGACATTAAATGTGTAGGTGCTTCGAGTATTTATTTTCGGTACTAGTTGGTTACTAAGAATATTGCAATCGTTAACCTTTAGTGGGTAACAATAGCGTTTATTTCCTCAATTCCTCGCTTTATCTCAAACTAAGTTTACATAATATTAGACTTTCATGAGTTCACATTACTTAAGGTACGATACGTAGTAAAATATTTAAGTGTTTTTCAAATGCAATTCATTTTAACCTATATGTAAAACCCTAGCGCATTCCCTACGGTAAGTAAATGTATGTGGTAAATACCATGGMTAAATAACTAGGTATGATCGCATTGAGACGCATTTTCGTTATGGGCTGCGCATGTACTACCATTCCATGATTTATCATGCAAAGAAATCTCAGCTGGCAGTGATTTTTATCACTGGATTTTGCAACTTCCGATAATGTTGATAACCGACTACGCTTATCAGTTATCATATTTGACCRTAATATTGGATTGAATATTAATTTTCAATTTGGAACTTGAAACTTAAAGCTTGAAAGCTTGATTGAAAGTTGAAAGTTCGTTTTCATTTTTTTTGTTTTATATGTAGGTTTTAAATATGTTTGTACATGTTCTATTCTTGTAAAATAAAAATTGTTTTTATTACTAAAATGATTTGTTATTTATTTTTCCTCGTCCCATTCCTTTTATATGAAAAACTAACACGATATAACTTGTGTCTTAAAATAGTATCCACTTGAATTTTGCCACTCAAAACCATGAATTAAGATAATTCAAGTTAATTTGTATAAACAACAATTAGCGGCAATCTTAGCACTTGTAGTCTTTTATTTATTATTCATGCAAGTTTATGTCATTGACGTTAATAATATTGTCAACTATCAATTTTAATTATTATTAAAATGTCTTGGTGTGCGGTAAAAGACTGTAAAAGTGGWCGAAAAAAAGATGCAATGACAAAAATGATACAAATATAAGGTTTTTCAGATTCCCGAAAAACTCTTATTATTGTATTAAATGGATTGATGCTTGTGGCAAAAATAAAAATGACATTAAATTTAAATTTCAATCAAACTTTGATGTTTATTTTATTAAATAATACATTTTTAAAATAAAATAATAATTTGTAATTTCAATTTTGTATTTGTATTGCTTTGAATATTGTTTTGAACATGGTTTTGATAAYTGTAAACTGATAAATCGAAGTGATAATATTCACTGCCAGTGGCGGCCATGACACCTGCGTATCATAAAGTTGCGATCATACCTAGTTATTTAGCCATGGTCAATACTATAATTGTTGATAGGTACAAATTCTTGACAGAGGTAAAACTATTTGGAACTTACGAGTAACATTGTTTTTATTAAGTTTGATTAAATTTTTCAAATCTGCTAAAACTCTTTCGAATTTGAGAGAAAAAATTGATTTGATTTAAATCGAAATATAATATTATCATGTTGCGTATCAATTACAAATTTATGGTCATATTTATTTTATATAAATACTATACAATATCATAAGTTAATTTTTAAATTTATAATGATCTAAAATAATAAAAGCTTCGGGCCCCAAAACTTACCTCTTGTTCGCTATGATGGTGTTTCGGTGAAGGTTCTCGAGCAGTGCTTGCCGCTTCATGATGTTACGCCATTCCAGTGTGTTATCCGCATCGTCATCCGTGTTCCGGTCCTTGTCGGATGACCGGAAGTCTTCTGCTTCCGCAATGGTGTTCTCCTCCACGCCACCATCGTCTTTTCCGTAGTTGTTGTTAGTCTTGTTGTCATTGTTGTTGTTGTAGTTGTTGTTGTTGTGGTGATGGTGAAAGCTGCTCGGCAACGTAGTGTACTGCATCAGCGGCATKCCACTGTCCTCGTATTCTTCAGGTGCGGTGTCCTGCACGGTGAACACGGCCTTCGGGTCGTCCCTGGGCTGTTCTTCGGTGCTAGATGCACTGTAGAACTCGTCGTCCTTTTCTGCGGAGGACGATGACTGAGTGCCGTTGAGCACTTCATCCAACAAGTTCGGAATGATTCGCATTTTCGGTTCAAACTGACATAGGTATACAAAACAGAACGGTTAATTATCAAAAAAATACAGCCTCATGTTAAAATTATTGATAGCATAATATTATTATATTATTGATTATAGCATGTCACCAGTGGTGATTGAGCAGTGAGCAGGGTGTGCATGAATGAAACATATCTCTCTATGACATTTTTTTTTTTTAATATATATAATAATATACTCGTAAATTACATTTTTTAATTGAGTAATGGTATATTCTTACACCTATTTAGAAGATTAATGCTAATTGTTCTTGTGTGTGTGTTGTTTTTTTATTTAAAACGAAAAATACGAGCATTTCTGAAATAGTTTATCGTAATTTACGACTATTGATTAAACTGACATATCATCATGTAATCTGATTTTTAAGTAAATATAAGACAGTTTATACAATTCTGAAAACAATTAACATTATTATTATTAATTAGTGTGTTTGGATTTTCATAACACGTCACATAAAATCTTTTTTTAGATTTTGAATGTGACGATAAATGTATTTCATTTATACACTTTTCTTTGGCTGACGTCATATTAAGAAACAGTAAAAATGATTCGATATTCAAATTTGATGTGGTTGGCATTATGGAGGGAGAAAAGACGTTTATAAAAAAGTTAAAAATTATTGAAAATAAACAAATTACATAATTTTTCAATAAGCGTTTGAATGGAAATTTTAATGAAAAATCCGTATTGAAACTATAAATTATTTTTTCATTAGTTCAAAATAGAATAATTCTTTAGAATAAAAACGTTCATCAAATATTCATAATATACTTTAATAACATGGTTATATAATTTTCAAAATACTTTGCTCAATTTATGCTATTTCTAAATATTTTTTTACAGAGTAAAAGTAGCATTTTATTATAAAAAGCTTGAAAATGTAAAAAGTTCCTCAAAAGTTTTATATATCCTAATTAAAAATATCGAAGATACAGTTACGATAATTGTTGTTTCAACCTATCAAATTACTAGCACACAAATAAATTATTATTCATAAGAACATTTTAATGTATTAGTGAGATTTTTTTGACTTCATTATTTTAATTTTCAACTGATTTTCGTTTAAGTGTTCATACATCCATGTCAATATCTAAATACATTATTTTATATTTATATTAATCGTGTCTATAATTGTACTCAATAAACCTTGGAAAGGACACAAAAGACAAACATGTTTTTACATCATCAAGTGGCAGGAACCGTAAGTTACCAAGATTGGAATTAAGTGATACGGTTAGTGTAAATATATAATTTCAAGTAGAGATCAACGTTTAAAGTTTTAAAGTGGAGTAGGAATACAATATCATATATTTTTATACTTTTATTGAAACTTACACGTGAATACTTTTATCTTCCTTTATAAGAACTTAGATGAACCCAAATAAAGTCATACCAAATTGATGTATTGGATGCAGCAATAATACATACGTCATGTATAATAGGTGATAGGTATACGATACGAGTGAAGAAGGTAATCAAATATTGGTAGGTAATAATAACGTTCCTAAAATAGTTATATAATAACGAGTATGTGGGAGATATTGAGAGAAATCGAATATCAAACATAATATATATAATACATACTATTATGGTAGTTTGTGTAAAATAGTAAATTTATAAATATTAGTTATATATTAACTGCTGTGTGGTATTTTTTCACTTTACACACGTGAAGAACATTTTTCCGCATTAATGTAAAATAATATGAGTATTTTGTTTAAAACTATTACAACATTTATTCATATATTTCACATTAGGTATTTGTACTAGGTATCTAATTTCTTAGAATTAAAATATTATTTAGACGCTAACCTGCTAATTAAACATTTTAGTTTAGCGTTTTTTTTTTTTTTTTTTTTAATTTAAACTTATTAGTTAATCTATGTTACTAAAAATTAAATAAATACAATGCTCTATAGTCTAATTAAATATCAAAAAAAAAATTTACGTTAAGGTTGAAAGTAACAATAAATTCTTTTTAATAAGAAATAAAGGTGTACATATGGTTCAGTGAATTCATAGAAAAATGTTTGTATCATACATATTATTTGCATATAATGTTAATAAATATTGAAACTGTCAGTGAAATATTTTTTGGGTTTGAAAGACTGATTCACCAAATCATTTTTTTATTATGATGAACAAATATGACATTTGCTGTTTCAATATTCACTGTTATGAATGTCAAACATAATAAATAAATAAATTACTATAACAATCGATATCACACCCTGTACGTTGTTATATAAAAAAAAAGGTATGTCCGGGATTTAAATTAACGTAGTTATAGTTTTGTGCTTCAGGTATACCTACTCGAGAATCATTTTCAAATTAAATCAAATTAATTGCTTAAAATGAAAAATGCATTTGACACAGCAATTAAAACATATCCAATAGAATTTAATTAAAGCACGCTAATAGCACTTTTACGGGAAAATATTTGATATTGGATAATAATACAATACAATATTGGAATTCAAACGAATATTATAATACAGGCATACTAAAATAGCGTGTCACTAATCAAATTTAATAAAAGAAAATCGTATACATTCTTTTCATTTATCCTATGATAATTCTGGATAATAAAAATTGGACGATGGGGTATTGATTTCCATATGTCCTTTGTGAGTTATTACAATGGATGAAGTAGTACTACGCATGGGTTAATATCCACTTTCAAACGAACATTGGGTCAAAACGATATGTATGTATAATGCATCCTAGCATGTGCTTGTATATTAAACCATAGTATAATGTRCATTTACTACCTTAACGCCTTCGGAGAGTATGGCTGAGTATATTTTGTTTGGACGTTCTATTTTTATTTAGACACATTTTATAGCAAGATTCTTTTTCATTTTTTTTTTTACTTTGCTGTGGCTCCAAGGCAATTGTTTATTCGTATTCTCTAAAGGCATAAATATACCTACCATAATATTATATACATCTAGTTTTAACGAATTTTCCATAAACTAAAACTCTTTTTTATCCTGAGCATAGAAGTTATCAAAATGCAAAATTATCCTTCAAGTATTATGAATATATTTTTATTTTTTTTATCATGCGTTTACTTTTATTACATCATTCATTAATATATTGTAGAATTAATATAATATTATAATAATGTTTGATAACAAAAATAACAAAGTTTAAACGGAATAAATAGATTTCGTAGAAAAAAATGTCGTTGATACTTGATAATTTATTTATCAAAATATTGATTAAAAACTTCTAATAAATAAAAGTTTTTTTTTTAAGATTATTATTATAACAAACAAGAATACATATACAATCATAGGAATATGTAATGAGGTGGTAGTAAATTTATTGGAATTATTGAAATATTTTAATACTTGATGTTTTGGCCATAACCCATAGCTGAATAATTTCATTAGTTTTCAATCGCGATGAGTGGATAATTTGTTCGTAGATTTAAAGTTTGATATTAAGTGGATGATTTTATTTGTGTCTAAGTTTATGGAGATTAATGTTGAAAGATTTTCTAATAATATATTAATTATTATATTTAAAAATTACCATAAATTACCAAAATTTACTAGTTCGTTTAACTTTGAGTTTATCATTTTCGTATTCATGTGGAATAAAAAATATAGCATAATAATAATAATAATAATAATATAGTACAGTCACTCGAGTATATCAGTTAACCACGCTGACCAATCGTACCACAGAATATATAGGTATTATTCTACTCGGCATATTCAATTTCATTAGATCTTACTACACACGGTTATTGCATTAACTGTTAGCGGTACCTAAGTAACTTTCATGTTATTCGGCTTTTGGAAAAACTTTGACGAAGTTATACGCCCTTGAACGTAGTGGCACACATGTTAGTRGGTTYGATTAATCCTTTCCAATAATATTGTTGAATATTGTTGGATCAGTCTCACAATTTGTTRTATCCTTGTTTATTTTATAAAATTTTTGAATAAGCCCTGATAACTGYACATAAAATATGTGATCAACTTATTTTAAAATTGATAAAAAAAATCTTTCAAAATTGTTCACCATGAATGACATAGTAAGAAATTGAAGAACTTTTTGAAAAAAATCGTATGAAGTTATTCGATTTYCAAGTATCCAAAAACTAGCGAGAACTTCCAATAATGACTAACAAACAGTAATTTGCGATGGTTTTTGAAATGTTCGTCCAAGTGTTGGCCGTTATTCAGCGGTAGTTTTGAAAAATGCACATATTTGTTTATATACTGTTTAACAAATTGTGAAAACATTCCAACAATGTCCTATAAAATTGTTGGATAGATTTGAATTCTGTTACGCATTTAACGCTAAGTTAACACTTTTGAGATCTTTCAAATAACTGAAAAAAATTATTTTTGGGGATGAGAATCGGTTTCGAGCATAGTGGCGGAAACACTTTTGTCCAAACAATGTATACTATTGTCTGTAATACATTTCAACTAGGTACAATATCAACTATCCAAGTTTGACTCACTGGATTGTCTAAATTGTCCTCGTTTTCCGTGTCGTCGGTAACCGTGGTCATGGTTGCCGCGGACGAATCGGTGCTGGTGTTGACCGTGACCGACGATTCGACGGACACCGAGCTGGACCCGAACACCTTGAGCTTGGGCGCCGGCGACGATTGCTGCGATTGCGGCTGTTGGTGCTGCAGGCTCTGGTGGTGGTGCTGTTGTTGTTGTTTGGTCCGGTTGAGCATGCGTTGGGCGCCGGCAGATTTGAAGTGGAGCCGGCGCAGTGCGCTGGACGCGCTAGCGATGAGATCGTTACCGGATGACGCGGTACCGTAACTGGAAGCCGACGACGGCGTGGGCGATCCCGGCGCCGACTTCCTCACGAGAACCGCCATTCGGTGTTTGCCCGTGCCGCTGACCACGTCAACGCCAGCTGGAGTCCAGCCACCACCTGCCTGAAAAACAGAAAAGTCACATTACGATATTATATATATGTATGTCCCAATCTTAATTCCTACGCAAACTACCAATTATGGCAGAAATAATCCTATTGATCGCATGATGCGGCTGGTCAATGAGAGTACACCATTTATCATAATATATTTTAATATTGACATTTTTTTTTTTGTTCTACTTTACTATTACTATTTTATATTACCTATTATTATTAGGTACTATTATTGAATTATTATCATGTCTAAACTTTTATATGGTATTTTWATTTTTATTGTTTTGTGTTAAATTTTTGTAAAGGTCTTTGCCCCTAAATATATATAAATAAATATGTTAAGACAGTTATCATCAGTCGTACACGCACATAATCATTTTAACATCACAAGCGAGTGTCTATTACGTCTCAAGTTTTTATGACAGTTGACAATTTTATCTGAGCACATTTTTGAAAATATTTTTCAGATAGAAAAACGTAACTSWAAAMGGCTCATATTTTATTTGTGTTTATGATTTTGAGTTACAAAGCTTGATACGCAATTCTGGTCGTCCACGGTTTTTGGCTGTAAGGCATTACTACAGTCGTGCATTTTAATAGTACCGGATAATAATTGTGCTATGATCATTCAAATTAAATATTATGGTTATAAAACTAGTCAGATAGGTAAGGTTCATACATATCCATGGTTTATCCATAATTTAAGCAATGATTTATATATATAGGTGCCTACTTTAAAATAAAGTTATAATCACCCATATAAATAGCAATAATTTATTTTATTTTTTATAAATTTTTTATTTTAAAATATTTATTTAATAATAGAAATGTTGTTGTTCAACATCATAGATAACATTTAATACGTCAAATTGTTAACTTTGAAGAAGATTTTCTAGTTAATATACGTTTTAGTTAGTTAACGACTACGAAATATTGATTTGAAACTTAATAATTTACTTAAATTTTGAAAATGTATAAATAATTTTTATTGTACAAGTAGATGTTATAAATGCAGCTAGTGTATATATCTATTTAGTACGTAAGACTTAAATGCACATTGTTAGTCATTGAAAGGTATCTCTTTTGAGAGCCTTCCTGCACATCTTATCACATAACTTTTGTTATAATTTTCATATTTAATTAGTATACAAATGTATAGATTTTAAATATTCAATAAACACATTGAAAAAATAAAATTGATAATAATATTACGGCATTTTAAAACATCCAAAAATAAATGCAACACGTAATAACCTCATAAATAAAACATCCACCTAAAAGTAATAAATAGTACGTGGAATCGARTATCGACGACAGAATTATATTCGCATAATTTATAAAAAATAACGAAATTATTCATYGAAGAGCAATAAAAACTAAAAAAAGTAATTTACAGTAACAAAACTGTACAAGACCACATTAGAGCCAGAAATATTGTTGATAAACCCTGTATTATATATTTATATAATTATAATCCACAATAGGTATGTACATACATTGTTATAGCTAATAAATAACTGTTCATATTTTTAAATACTTTGTCATTACATAATAATAATAAAAATTATTATAACTGAAATAATATTGATAAAATAAAAACAAGTAATTTGAATATTTGACATGAATTGAAAAATTTCAATTACAAGGCTTTTAAATAATTATATGGATGGGGAT